ATTGTTTTATTGAATTATTTATATTTATTTTATAAGAATATAAAAATCGATTATTATAATTATTGATATTTTTTTAGATATTTTGAACGATAGAAATTCAGTTTTGTTTGCACTAAGGATATTTTTTGGTCAATAGTGTTTTATATAATAATTGGATCTTTTTAGGTTAGATTCATTTTCTTTTTGTTTAGGCGATCGTTTTTCACTAATTATATGTTTATACATTGCTATCGGGTATTTAAGACATATTGTCATGCTTTAGGAAATATATTAAGGTGCTAAAATATTCTATTTACAATTTATTTTTAAATAGTTGGATTTTTAGAATTGGGTTTTTAATTTATTTTAATATATAATTTGTCTGAAATATTTTGTTTAAATAAGACCCAGCACTTATTCGGTCTGCCTACTTCCGTGTCTGTAAATATATTCGTATATATTTATCTATAATTGTTTAATTAAATATATATATTAACTTAAATAATATAAAATAATTATATCTAATATTTAATATATTTTTTAAAAATATATATTATTAAAAAAATAAAAAAATAAAACCAAAATATAAACTAATATTATAATTAATTATGTTTAAAATTAATTATATTAATTGTATTTTATTTATTTTATTTATTCTCTAAATTATATTTTAGTTTGTTATAGTTTTATTTAAAATTATAATATATAATAATAATATTATTAATATATAAATAAAATACATAATTATTATAACCATCTTTGTCATAAACACACAAACACACAAACACAAAGACACAAACACACAGACACAAACAAGACAGACAAACACAAGCAGGCACAAGCAGGCACAGACAGACACAGACAGACATAGACAGACAAGCAGACACAAACAAACAGACACAAATACAGACACAGACACAGGCACAAACACGACGCAGACACAGACAGACAGATAGACAGACAGAGAAATAGACACAGACAAACAAATAGACAGACAGACAGATAAACAGACAGATAGACAGACAGAGAGACAGATACCAGAGACAGAGCAACAGACAAAGAGAGACAGAGACAGAGACAGACACCGACAGAGAGACAGAGAGAAAAAGAGACTTTTTGCACTCAGGCACCAACATATTTTATCATCTCATATGTCTCAAAAACCGTATATTCGTCGCATGCGAAAAAGCATGCTGCCAATCTCCAAACACAGGTTGCGAGACACACTGAGGGCCGGGCTGGTCGCGATAAGGTCACGCCAAAGAGTCAGTGAAAGGCGGTCGCCTGAGCAAGGTGAGAACGGATCCGCGGGCTGTTGGCCTCAAAAGATTAATCCATACACGCAGTCGTTGCAAGCGCAAGCGAAAACGCGATCGACCAGAAAACATCCTGGGTGCAAGCAAAGCCGAACTGACTTCGCCCAAAACACCAAACAATCAGTGAAAGGCGGTCGCCTGAGCAAGGTGAGGGCCTCAAAAGATCCATCCACATATGCAGTTGTTACAAACGCAAGCGAAAATGCGATCGACCAGAAAACAGCCTGGGTGCAAGCAAAGCCGAACTGATTTCGCCCAAAGCATTGGGAAAACACCACTGGTCGCAACAATCGGCCGCGGCTCACAGCTTCTCGCATCGCCAAACTCTCGGAAAATTGCTACGGACAGGCAGATTACCCCGAAAGCGAATCCGGCGCCAAATTTGTTGGAGGACCCCCCCTCTGATCAGCTTCAGAGAGTCAATTTTCATTGTGGCTGGGTCCTCCAGATTTAAAAGGTTGGGGGTTGGGGTACCAACTTTTTTCTATAGTCTGTTTTAGTGGGGAACCCTCCCCCCAAAAAAAGGGAGAAAGGGCATTACTGGGGGACCTAGTCGAAAAGCTTTCGATGGCGAGCCTGACGGGCGATCAAAGGGAAATAGGGAAACCAATCATATAGTAGTAGAAGAAATCCAAAAGTCAATCCAACTGGTGTGTGAAGATGATCGAGTGGATTGGCCCAAAAAGAACCCAACTTCTTATTTACCGCTAAAATGATCATGAGGAAACCACAAGGAAACAGAGCGTAAGGGACCGATTCCAATAAGATGCGCCCAATACGAGAACCGGCAATTTATCTGGAAGACACAACGGCTTCGTTCAAAGCCCGGACCATTTTTCCGAAATATCCCGATATTTCGATAATTGCACTCCAGACCATTTTTCCGAAAAATTCCGGATATTTCGACGACGGCATTTCCCGAAATATTTAGGAATATTTCGGGAAAACGGTTCCCGAAATATTCGGAATATTTCGAGAAAATGATGGGTGGCTGCGATTTTCCCGAAATATCTAGAATATTTCGGGAAATGGGTCCCTACAAAAATGAAGCCACTGCATCTTCCGGATTATGGCCGGGGTAGCCCGGACAGATTTAGGTAAGCGATCCGTAGGAAATATAAAGCGGTTACATCTTCCAAAGGCAGCCCGAACCAATTTTCCGAAATATCCGGGATTTTTTGGAAAAGCGGTCCGGGAAAACGCGCGCAAGTGCGACGAGCAAGTTTCACGATTTCGTTTTAGAGAGTAAAAGTAAATATATAATTAAGCATTTTTTAAACTTAAAGAAATTTATATAATATATTTATTCTTAAAAATATCAATATATATTAAATATCATTAATAAATTGAAATTACATATTTTTAAATATGATTTACTGTTATAAACATATAAAAATATTTCAAACATATACTATAATTGTATAAATACAAAAACATAATCAACAAATCCCAAACAAAAAACAAAAAATACAAAAAGAAACAGAGACCAAAAGAAAAAATAAAGAGAGAAAAAGAAAAAAGAGAAAAACACAAGACAAAAAACAGAAAAATAGAAAAGAGATAATAAAAAAAATAAACCAACAATAAAGACAAAAAGGCAGGCAGATAAACAAACAAACAAACAAAGCAACAAACACAAAAACAAACAAAGAAAATTAACAGAGAAACAAACAGGGAAAGAGATAAGCAAAAAAAGAGACAAAAATAAAATAAATAAACAGAGAGACACAGAGAGACAGAGAGACAGGAGAGACAGAGAGGCAGAAAGGCGGAGAC